GATTACTTTACCAGTGATAAACATTGCCACAACTATTGTTTCATGTATTATCATCAATCCACCCACACAATATTATTATTAGGTTAGATATTTCAGATTCTACTGGTAGGTACTTAAAGTTCAGAAGTTATTACATAAATTCCATTTAGTAATCAGAAATTCTGGACGACCCGCAAAAATATTGTCACTCAGTAATGTATGTATGTTCGTTGAATAATTTTTAATTATAACTCGACATAATAGATTTAATGAGATACAATACGCGATAGTAATCTTCTGAATGCGAAAATAGGCGGCAAAATGTCTTATTTGATAAATCTTAAAGAATAGATAAGGTACTCACATCACTTATCGTATTAGTCACTCGTCGTGTGTAGTGTAAGTAATCAATAAATGACAAACAGCCATGTGTAAGAATTCACAGAATCGTTAGGAGCAAAACAAAAAATTTGAATGGTCAACTGACAAGAGGTAAAACAAACAATTTCATAGTGCTGCTCTTAATATAGGTAAATATGCACAATTTTAATTATGTGTACCTAATATTATTGTCATTAATATTCGCAAATGCAGAGAAGTAATAGGGAAAATATTTTGACCGTTTTGTATTGGAGAAATCGAAGAGCTTGCGTGAAACGGCACAGTGCCAAGTTATAGTTAATAAGTGTATGCAGTCCAATGATATTATATGTATAAAGATGCAGTCTCTATACTACTATTTATTAGGGTTTGGTTTTTTGTTTCTATAATTAAAATTATTATAATAGATTCTTGGGAATGCCTTCGACAGTTTACGTGCAAATACATATTTGTAAAAACTTCGAATATCAATTTATGAAATATGACGGATATTTGATATTCAAAAAACTTATATATATAAGTATATATATGAAGATATACAAATGGAAAATATTTTCACTGACGATATGTATCTCAAAAATTTGCAAAACTACGCAACTGTTTTGCAGTAATGTTATGCAAGGATTGATTTTGCTTGTCTTGAACATACACGTCGCACAAAACAAACAGATGTTATTCTTGTTGATAAGCTATTACATAAGTGAGTGCGGCACCGACTGTCCATCAATATGATCTTTAACTAAACTAATAACAACTATATTACACATTACTATACAAATGGCTGATAACGACATTTAATTGTGTCAAGCTAATATAGGGTGCTTGTATTCAGAAACAATTCATACTTTAGGGTTCCGTTCCTCAAAAGGAAAAAACGGAACCCTGAGTTCGACGGAACGGAGATCACTTTGTTCTCCGTCCGTCCGGCCGTCCGTCTGTCAAGACCGTTTTTCTCAGGAACGCGTGGAGGTATCAAACTGAAATTCATATCTAATACTCAAGTCTACTGTCCCTTGGAGCTGTGAAAAAATCAAACTTCTAAGCCAAAGCAATCAAAAGATACAGCAGTTTATGTCGCAAATTTTCGAAACTCGCACTGGAATCAAAACCTGCAGGGTACGAAGTAACGTTTTATAGTACAGATAAAGGAAAAATTGAGAAAAACGGTAAATTTTTAGTTACATCATATAATAATTTTTTTTTTTTGAAAATTCAGGTTTGTACGGAACCCTCGGTGCGCGAGTTCGACTTGGCCGGGGTTTTTTTATATATGGCGCAACAAACTACCCCACCCCACCTGATGTTAAGTGTAAGTGAAGTACAGTCGCGAGATAGATGATGCGGCAAAAAATGTGCCGCTTCATACATCCTGACCTAACCGGCCTGAACCCAATAAAACACTTGGAACTTAAGTGAAAATAGTTATATTTTAAAATAGAAATAAAAAAGTAAATATGTGACAAAATAGCCTACTCTATAGATATTATCAGATCACTCTAAAGAGTGACATTATAATTTAAAGAAAATACTCTAATCATAAGACACGTTGCAATACTTACCGATATTTTGGTAAGGACACGATAGATAAAACTTCATGACTTAAATACAATTATCATAGTTTTAATTTCAAGATAACATTAATTTTACTCCATTTGATTTTAGTTTCCAAAAATCTAGAACGATTCGTAATTTCCTAAGAAGGCACTGAGAAATTAAGGGATGACTATGTTTGGTGAATATCGGGTAAATACCTGGCAACCAATTAACCCCGTTTTAATTTCGCTGATACGCCCTTGATGTTATTAGAATATCATTATCTTTAATATCTGTTATCCTGATTAAGACTATTGAACTTCTTTTGTATTTGTTTTATTGCGGTTGTAAATTCATTAATTTAAATAAGCTTAAAAATTCAATGATAACTACATTCATCGACTGTTAGTCTGCACGAAGTTCGCCGGGTCAGCTAGTTTGTGTTATAGATAAGCTGCAGCAGTAATGTTAAATTGTTGTGTAATGTTTAGCCGAATGACTAACACGACGCTGACAACAACTAGGAATCAGTTAGTTCTGATTCCAACTGTTTTTGATGTGTAACATCTTTCCTTACGCTTTCCTGCAATTTGTATGAGTGATTTCGTGAAATGGGACGGGAGTGTGTAACAGGAAGTCGCGAAAGCGCGCGCTATTTAATTTTAGAACATAATTTTCAAATGGCTTGTTCCTTTTGTAGTAGGTTTTCTTTCTTTTTTTACTAATATAAGGTGAGGTTTCAAATGTTACAAGTCATACGCGGCTGTAAGGCTAGCTCGTTTTTTTATATGTTTTTGTTGTCAGACTTTGATTATACTTATATCTACCTACCTTCATATAGACCATACTTTCATATAATTTTTAATTAAATTGTTTCAATACAAATGTCTCTTTCTACAGATTTGGTCAATGCTCAATGAAATATCAAGACAAGTTAATATTTTATAGACTACCTTAATAAAAATGTTCAAGTTATAGATATACAAGAGTTCATACAAGATCTTATGCCGGCACATCACTTGGCTGGCAGTCGTATTTGCTATTTGTAACCTTGACAACAGGCTGTCATTATCATCTATACATATAATAAAATGGTAGGAAAGTCAAAACTATTCTTTGAATATTTTTTAAAGGAATACTTGGCGTGTGATCTACAATCGATACCGAAGCCAAAAATATAGTTTTTAGAATTTTTGTCCGTTTGTCTGTATGAGTTAAACTCAGAAAGTACTGCATGGATTTCCCTCAAATTCGGCAATATTATTAAAAAGTCGGGTCAACATATAGGCAACATATTATCACGCTATCGCCTACGAGAACGAGCAGTTATTTCTTCAAGGCATTCTGTAACAACGTGTAATCTAAAGACGCGCGACGCATATTTCAATGTTGTTATTATGTTAATTGTAGAGGTGTACTAATAATGCATCTTTAGAAATAAACCCCCTTTTGGGGTCAAAAAGTATGTGCAAATGACTAACTCCACGCGTACTAAGTCGCGGGCGGCCGGTAGTGTTTTATAAGCAATGAAAAAGACAGACTGATGTTAAGTTTACAAATAGCAAACACAAATAGCTAAGTGAAGTGCCGGCATCAAGCCATGTTGATTACTGTATGGCATTGGCCTTCACAGACCTTAAGTTCTTTTTCTGTTCATTCATCTGCAGCAAATCAGAAATTCGTATAATAGGGTATTTGACAAGTTTTAGAAAACGATCTCACGTTATTGAATAATGTTTATAAATGTAGTCCGCAAAAATTGGATATTCATCATTCTGTTGTATATTTCAGTAAAAATAACCAAATCAAAAACTCCATTTCAAGTTGCCGCGAAAACGTATTTCTGGACAATATGGCGTCTTACTAGTGTGTAACGTCACACGACACGACTGTTAGTAAAACGTCAAACGATACAATGTAATGTCACTTTAACCGGAAGTTTACTTGCGTGTGACGTAATTTTAGGCTCCGCCAATCCCAAGCGTTTTGGGTCACGTGACAATAGATAAGAAAACTTTTATCTTTTTCGTGGGTTTTTAGTAAAATTATGAATACTTTTTTTGTAAAAATAGTAAAAACCCCTGCCAATATTCATTCTAAACACAGATGCTAACTCTATTTCTATGTAAATTCCATCGGTGTTTATCTTATATATAAAATTCTCGTGTCGCGGTGTTTGTGGTTAAACTCCTCAGAAACAGCTTTCCCGATTCTCATGAAATTTTGTGTGCATATTGGGTAGGTCTGAGAATCGGACAACATCTATTTTTCATCCCCCTAAATGTTAAGGGTAATCTACCCCTAAGTTTTTTTTTTCAATTTTAGATAAAAAAAAATTATGATACATCATACACAAATACATGCAAGCCTAAATTTTCACAAGAAACAAAATATGACAGACAGAACGTATACAATATAGGCGGCCTTATTGCTAGGCAGCAATCTCTTCCAGGCAACCCATGCTATCGCTTGCATGCTACTAGCGCTTGTATATATTTTTTTTGTGGCAGGTAGATCGATTCTACAATATGGTCTTTTCTCATAGTAATTCTATTAATAATTTTATAAAAAAGACGAAAAATGTGTATAATAAATTCATGGTTGATATGAAATGGCAAAAAAATGGTAAGTAGGTATGTCTTTTATAAAAATGGTATAACATCATTGCAAAGGTCAGATAAGGCGATCTCTTAAAAAAAGTAGGAAAGATGATAAATTCTTTGCAAAACTCAAAAGGTAATTATAATTATCCGGTTTATAAGAAGAATATATTAAGCAAGCTGCTTCTTGAATACCACACAGTAATCTCAATGGGTATAATGAATATTCAGTTAAATTATACAGGTAGGGTACATGTAATAGAAAATAAATATAAATTAAAATCATACTCATGAGGACGGAGCATGTAAAGCATCCGAAGCGTAGATATATGTATAAAAGTATAAAAAACGTATCTTAAGCCAGTTGAAAGTGTTTTAATCTTAAAAACAAATTACTATAAAAGCAAAGGGACACCGATTAGATATTATTATTGCTTATTGCCTGCTGGAAGCCCTTTTTGGAAACACACAGATTTTATTTGGAAAAGCCATGTTTTTTCGACTTACCTTCATTATTTCGTCCAAAAAAAAGTAAAATAACTAACACTTTATATTTAATTTAAGAAAAACGTTAATTCAATTTGAAAAAGGAAACACAATTGTTTTTTAATGTAGTTCGATCGACTTCTGTCAGAGCAGCGTTGTCGACTGGCGGCGCACATGAAATACACTTGCTGTCTGTACAAGTTGTACAACACAGTGCTCACGCGCAGGATGTTAAACCGGGAGCTAGTTTCGAATCATGATAGCTGATCATTATATTTATATATTTATTACCTACCTCTACCTTACGCAGTCTTTAGTACTGATGTAACCGATTTTAATAATGATCTAAGAAATATTTAAACTTTCAAGCAGGTGAACAATATTTTAATGTCTTAAAATATGTTTAAAAACTATATATATTTAAAGTTACTTCATTACATGAATTTATATATTTTTTGTAGTATAATATTTTATCGATAGTGTCTACTTAATCTGCAAAATTAAGATTTTTAAACGACTACAATCAATAGGAAAAGTTCTAGAATGAACTATTTAGACAAAAAAAAGGCTAGAAAAATTAAAATACTTAATAATAATAATATATTTGTTTCAGTAAGTCATCGACCATGGTGTATAACTTAAAATCCATAAAGTGTTAATATTTTATTAATATAAATATTTTTTTATAACAAAAAATTATACAAATGTATTCCTTGTATCGTTTTTTAATACCAGCTCCCGCGCTATTACGCAGTATTGTCACATTTGTGATTTGATGCGTGTTATCTATACCAGTAGTTTAACTATGGTTATTACTAATACTGCGACGTCATTAATTTACTATGTTATCTGTCATGTGGATGGACGAGTCTGTTCTTCTGGAAATCTGTTAATAATACTTAATTTAATTAACAATACACAAGTTGAATCTACCTACACTATAGTCTATCTACATTATTAAACCTACCTACATCATTCTTTTTATTAAGAATTAAAATTTTGACGTTTTTTGGGTTCCGTAACACAAAAGGAAAAACGTAACCGTTATAGGATATTTTTTTGTCCATCTGTCCTTTTGCCTGCCTGTCTGTCAAGACCCTTTATCTCGGGAACGCGTGAAAGTATCGAGTTAAAATTTAAACTATATATTCAAGTCTACGGTCCCTTGAAGTTGTAAAAAAATTAAACTTCTAAGTTAACGTAAAAAATAACGGCTTTAACCTTTTTTTAAATAGTCCGGTTTTTATAAATGTTCAATACCATTCTGGGATTTATTCAGGGATTTTGTTTTTAAATATCATTGTAAATGTGATATGTAATAATAATAGTTCAAAGTCGTTAATCATTCCAAGATAGAATTGACATTTCCCGCAAAAGATCCCTCTTAGAAAAAAAGTGTGTTTGTTTTTCTAATTTATTAATATTGTTCCCTTTTTCTTATTTGTAGAGTTCCGTACCCAAAAGGATAAAAATGGAACCCTTTTCCTGTCTGTCTGTATGTCACGCGTCTCTAGATTGTAAAGGGAATGTGCTACAGAGCTGTAATTTTAGTATTACATGTAGAATGCTTACCCAAAGCAAAATATGTAGTTAAAAATTCAATTAAGTTATTTTTCATGGGGGGAATGAAATGAATGAAAGCGTGAAATAGGGGTCGATTTTTTTCTATTATGCCATATAATTTTATATTTTTTTATTTTCAATAATAAAGAAATGGATGGTCATAGTTCCTTTCGTACTTTGTTTTGATCGAACAGATGTGTTTTTTATTTACCATTTTTTGCTCAATATTATAATATATTGTCTAATGTTCTATAAATAATGGTACGAAACCCTTCGTGCGCGAGTTGGGTGTTTTTATTGATACAATAATATAACAGATTAGGTACCCACTTGGAAATTACATCAAATCCGCAATGATTATTTATACCTATTATGCACCTTTATGGTGATATTTATGGAGTTCACACTACGATGACTAACATTTTTTTCAACAAAGGGGTCTTACGTCTCTTACTCGCACTTCCATAGCATATTACCTGTCAAGGACTTATACTAGCCAGAACCGCCTGTCATTCTTCCTACTTACTTTAAATCGCCTAGACAAACACATATATAAATTTCAACTTTACGGAATAGAGTTTATTTTAATTTATATGCTACGCACTTTTCGGTTCACCTGTCATGTACTTGCGCTCATCGAAAACGCCTGTATTTTTTTTTAACTTTAAAAGAATTGATCTAAATTGTATAAAAATTTCAAGCTTACTTACAGAACCAAATTCTTTAAATATTTTGTCGACAATCTCAAAAATATATAGGGCTTCATGACGTACAGGGCTGAGGCGTGCCAAGCGATGCTTACCGTACTATCGTACTAAGCATGCTAAGACTCATCACCATAAGAATTTCTAACCTTACAGACATACAGTTACTCGTAGGGTTCACTAGCTCTCCAGTTGCTCTGACAGACGTTTAGCTTAAAAATTATATTAAAATGTACAACTTAGTAAAGCTCAGAAACAGACCAATGATCGTGGAATTAGTTTAACTCTGCGATAACAATGCACTATTAGTTATGTTAATTAATGTACCCATATATGTATAATGTTAACTACTATCATATATATTTTTTTTGTTTGAAATTTGCATGGATGACGTCAGTAAGTACTTGAAATGTAAAGGTTTATGTTGAATAAATAATTTATGATTCTACATACCTTCCTAATACGGGTCAATTTGTCAGAAACTAAACCAAAAAGTGAGTTAAACGCCATCTGTAGTAACTTGTTCATGCTAAAACGCGCCCATATCGTGGTATATCGACCATTCACACGGTTAAACGGTGCTTGCACTCAGCAACAGATTATTGCCGAACGAACATTTATAAACTTTCAACGGACGGAAACGGTCCGTAAATGTTAAAAATACTATCTACTGTCTTAAATCTGACGAAAGATACGATTATCAGTACTGGTTCCGTAGAATTTATAGATTTTATATTTTACTAGTGGGTACCCGCGACTTCGTCTGCGTGGAATAATTGGTATCTCATGCAAACTTCCAACCCCTTTAAAGTACGATTCCTAGGGCAAAAACTATCTCTATACGAAATTCCACATAAATCGGTTCAGCGGTTTCAGCGTGAAGAGGTAACAGATTAACAGAAAAACAGACATGCGTCCGCATTTATAATATTAGTATGGCGTATGGATAGATTATGTAACTATTCTAATATGTAATATAATAGCTTGTAGTCTTGCTTCTTACATCAACATAAAAAATACATATTTATAAGGAATAAGCAATGCCTTTGTTTCTTGTTTCTGTTCTTCTTATCTGATTGTACTAAATCAATAAATAAAAACATTTTAGTCATAATGCAATAAAAACGCGCTTTCTCCTGGTTAGAAGGTGTTTTATTATGATTAACGGCATCATAGTTATATTTTTATTTTTTAAGCATTTAAAATCTCGAAATCGGGGCCGCGGTAGCATAATGGTCAACACATCCGCCCAGATAGCGGAGGGTGCGGGTTCGAGTCCCGTTTGATGCCTGGTCCACGTGGATTTTTTTCTAGTATTTTTTTTTAATTATACTAAAGTTCTTGGTAATAATATAATACTAAATTCAACAAAACAAAATAAAAGTATCTAGTTGGAAACTAATATGGACTCGACTGTACCAAATGTAGAACTGTATGTAGAAGTTTACTATCAAATTTACTGACTTTCTAGGGCGAATGGCAATGAATAATAATTATTGCTCTTATTAAGGGCACTATTTTGGGAACTATAGACATTATAAATTGGACGTACCTATCGCTTGTTCTGTTTTCGTGCAAGAGTGGGTATGCTATGCGTAGTACCTACATTCAGCATGCTCACTGAAGAAGGCGTATATATCTCTCAAGCACCGGTTTTAAATATTTGTCACTACTGTTTTTGCCATATCAATTTTAATGAGTGATGTGCGTGAAAACATAAGAAACAAATATATGAATTCTAGTTATAGCTTATGAAGATATATCGAACAGAGGTGAGTATGCTGGGCTAAACCTACGCCTTGCATACTTACTAAACTATGTCTCTAACTTTGTAAGGTTAAGAACATATTTTTTCCTTTGGGCATATTATTTGGCACTTTTCGAGAACTATTTTTAGGCATTTTCAAAATACGTTATTCCATGGTAAGTATGCTAGACGTAGGTAGACTAATATTCCATAATACAACCCAAATATATACAATGATGGTACACTAAACCAAAACTCCTTGTGGAACTGTATAGCAATGTAGATTAACTGAATCATATTCATACAAATTAATAAGGAACTTGTAACAGTATAATTTTAATTGTGTATAATTTTAGACTTCATCATCATCATCATCAGCCCATTTTAGACTTATTAAATATTTATTATATACGATATAAACAGTTATAATTAATAAATAATAAATAAAAGCATTTATTTCAGACACGAGATCTATATCGAAATTTAGTAAAAACAATAAATACAACAATTACATTAAAATAAATAATAATAGTAATAAAACAATATATTTCAAAAACACATGTCAAATTAAATTAATATTGAACAATAATTAAAAATTTATAAATTAAAACGGAATAAAATAATATAAAAAATTCAGTCAAATTATGTTCATTAATTAATTTAAATTATCTGATTATCTGAGTTATAATAGGCTATTTGACCGTATGAAAATAAAGTCCCAATTATTGGCATGTGTATTTACCATGAATATTGGGAGAGATTTCACTATTCTGACTAGAGGTGGTTCGTCGACGTATTTTTTGTCAACGAAATTAAACCGTCCACTACCGTCCATCGACTAGTCGATCAACTAGTTGAATTCTTCGACTAGTTGACGTGATAACGGCAGGCGTTCATATCAACTACGCGGTGACTGGTCTACGGGCGCGACGCAACGACGACGACGGGGTCTTTACAAGGGCGGATCCAGGGCCCCCCTGGGCTGGGTCCATCTGTACCCACTTCACAATCTGTACCCACTGTGACTTGACCACGACTACATGACACCCCCCTGGCGCCAAAGCTGGATCCGCCCTTGGGTGTTTATTTAGTATTCACTTTAAATTATAGTCATTTAAATGTTTACAAACAATTATTATAAACCCGTACATCCTGCACTGCATCGTTTAGCCAGATCCATCAAAGTACTCTTTCACGCAATATCAGAATACTCTTGAATTTTCATTCTAAAAAACGAACAAATATGAACTCCCACTTCATATACATAAGTTTCAAATTGCTTTATTTCAACGAATGAACGAACGTATAGAATTGTAACCGGTAAACCGGATACGTTTACGCGTCGTCGTCGTCGCGTTGTCAGTAGATATGAACGCTGTGGACTCTCAGTTTAGCCGTCTATGAATTCAACTGGTTAACGAATTAACTGTAGACTGTCGAAGCGTCGATTGAACGTAGACCGTCTATTTAAACCGTTCGTTAATTCAACGC